ACATAAGATGAGAGAAAAGTGCTATCAAGCAAATAGGTTTAAAAAAATGAATCAATCCAAGTAGAATTAATCCCTTTGTTGTAGAAACACAATGGTTAGAGAAGTGACAGGCCAAGAACAGCATAAATAAACACCTGGAAAATTATTTGAAAAATTCGTTCACTTAATACTTAGCACGGAAATCAAACCTAAGAGGGTCATTGGAGAGACCTTCTGCTCTACTGCGCTTAAACCATTAGAGTGCGGAAGTAGCGTAAAGCTGAATTAGTCGTCAGTCCGCCCACGCAGCTGTTGGTTCTCACAGTAAGTATGAAAGCAGAGGCTGACTGGATGGTAGAACAGGGAGGAGAGGACGATCCGAAAGGGGCTTATTCCAGTGCGCTACGGGGCACGCAGCACATGTTCAATATTTTTAAACTGACAGTGAAATTATTTTTATGTAAAAAATAGCCAAATCAATGTGCACAAAAACAAAAAAATAAATGAATACTGCAGATTTGTTTGTCTCGATTCATGGTAAAAATAAAACAGTTGTCCTATGAGTCAAGTCAAAATGATTCAGCTGTGTTTGCCTACCTACTGGGGTGTTGTGCCTAATATTTGTGGTAAGCTTTACCATGAGGTCTCCACAAAGAAGAGGATGTACCCTGGATTGCCTAGCAGTTTGTTCCGGGGCTATTTATTCTGCTAACTCACACTAACCTCTTCAGGACGTTTCATTTCAAATATAATCAATCAATCACAGGGGATCAACCTGTGCGGAAATAATTTTAAGTCTATGAGTATGCATAACTGTAACCTCGTGGCATATTTTACTAGTCCTTTTCGAAAGTTAAGTCACTAACAAGAGAGCACCAAGTCATGCATTCTCAATTGCCAGTTATACCTTAATTCACAGGATTCTATCTGAAAATGAGTAGTACAAAGGACTGTTCCTTTTGTGATGTACCTAACCAGAGTTAAAAACAACAAAGGCAATTCATTCAAAGGCGTCCATTCACAGCCGGGTGAACAGAAATGCACCTGATGGTTAATTTCCCTACTAGTAAAAGTCTGGGTAAAAATATTCTCTGTCCCTAAACCATCAGTGTTCGAGATCATTTTTTAAAAAATTACAGAAATGTGCTTTTATTCTTTTTATATACATATGGTTTGATTATTTATTGTGTGCCTTTTTGATTTAAGGTTTTCTTTTCTTTTTTTCTTTTTTTTTATAGAATGACTTTACTAGAAAACCAGAGAGAGCAAAGTTGGAGAGAAACACGGACTGCGGCTCGGAGGTGTTCAGCGAGCGCTGGACAGCAAAACCGTAGCGCTCGCGTGCACCCCGCGCGGCCCGGCCACCCGCGCGCGGGACCGCGCGCTCGCCCCCGCCACCCGGGGCCGCCCCGCCAGGGGGGCTGGGCCTCCTCGCTCCTGTGCGCCGCACCCGCCCCTCGCGCGCCTCTGGGCGCTCAGGCTCGCCTGGGCTCGCCTGCTCGGCGGGAGAGTTGGCGCAGAGCTCGCCGCGCCATGGGGCCAACTCCGGGCGCCTAGGAGTTGCGGGCTGCGGAGCGCGCTCACCCCAGAGCCGGCGGGCGGGCGATGGCTTAAGGCGCGACAGGGGTCCGCCTCGAGGTAACCGGGAGGGCCCGGGCCGGCGACGTTGGAGCACAGCCCGACGATGAGTTTCCACAAGGAAGACGGGGTGAACAGCCTGTGCCAGAAGGCGCTGCACATCGTCACCGAGCTGTGCTTCGCGGGCCAGGTGGAGTGGGAGAAGTGCTCGGGCATCTTCCCGCCGGAGCGGGGCAGCCAGGCCGGGGCAAGCACAGGTAACAGCTGCTGGACCCGGACCGGGATCCGCCCCCGCCTCCTACCTCGAGGCCCGTTGCGGGCTCCGCTGCGACCGGGAGGGAGGGGTCGGGGGCCCCCGCAGTCCTCGCTCGCGCCCGCGCCGGGCTCTCCGGGACCCGCGCTCCCCACGCCTAGCGCGCCTGGGGCGCAAGGACCCTGGCCGGGGCGACCCCGCACCAGAGGCTGGTCGGGTTGGCAGCCGGCGGGGTTCGGGCTGCCCCGATGGTCGCGCGGGGCTCGGTCGCAGCGCGAGGCGTGCGTGGACGCCGAGAACCCTGAGGACCCGGGGGCGCCCTGGTGCTCAGAGTGGCCAAGACCCCAGAGCGGGAACTTTCTGCCGCAACCTGTCCAACACCGGAGAGCTTTCCCGGTCTTTTAATACTGCGGGAGTTGTTTTCAGGGACTTCGCCACAACAGTGGGATACTGTGGGGATCTCTGATCCCATTTTGAGGCGACCCTAAGGTTCAGGGCTCAAAACAGAGAAGGGGAAGAGACGGAAGAGGTGATCCAGCCTCTCCACGCGGGGCACGGGCGTCCTCCCGGCCCTCGAGAAACTGGGAAGAAGAGTGGGGTGAGGTGCACGGCGCAGAGAGCGCCCCAGAACTCGAGGTGGGAAGAAGGCGCAGGTGGCAGATTTCTCTCCAGGTTTTCGGGGTTGGAGCTAATCACAGCCACCCTTTTGGTGAGGCTTGGGGGAAAGGTTTGACCCACTCGTGACAGGGCGCGTTTGTCCAGCTTGCTGTACTGTGCACAGGGGCCACTGGGAAGCGGGCATGTGACGCTCAGACGCTCCGGGCAGTGAAGGTCAAGCCTTGCGCGGCCAGCACTGTTTTCCAGGTTTGGGGCGTCCAGCCAGGAGGCCGCTGTGCCTTTTGCAGGTCTTGTTTCTTCCCCGCGGCTTTCCTCTGTCGCTTTGGTCCCCTGGAGGATCTGCTGAATTACAGGTAGCCAGGGCAACAGGTCGGAGCTAGACGGCCACCCGGGACAGTAGAGATCCAGGCGGGGAGGAAGCGGCGCCCTCAGTGACGCCCCCCTCCCACACCTGCTCCCCGGGGAAGAGAAAGCAGAGAGACGGGCGGGGTGGGCTCTGGTTGGTTTGGCTGCTGCCTGCCTTTGTTTGCGGGATCTCTGCAGAGCTTTAAGTTCTCGCGCTGCCAGACTGAGACTCCGTCTGCTTTTTAGGAGCCCGAGCCGCTGCTGGGACTCAGGGACTCCGACCTTCACTGCTGCGGTATGCACGCCGGCAACCTGTTTTGGAAATGTATGAACTCAACGGAGAATCATTTGTTTGTTCAGTAGGTGTTAATTTCCTAGGAGAGGACAGAAAATGAAACTTGTAAGGGACGCAGAGAACACCTTGCGCGTGTGCCACGTGCACAGGACGGAAAGGCCAAAGCGGTGGCCCCTGAGGGGGTGGTACAGGACACTTGCTCTGACACGCGTAAATGCTGTGGATGCCTGAGCTAAAACCCAGAGCCAGGGGCTGGGGAGGACCTTATGCTCTAGATACACTTAATTCTTCTCTCCTGCCCCGCTGTGATTACAAACACCAGTGTTTCCTTAAGGCTCAGTGGCTGGTCGCGTCAAAAACGCGTGGAGATTGATCGGTACGAGCTTTTAAATCTTCTTTAAATGTACAGCTAAGCAAGGTGAAGGTAAAACAGAACAGGAATTATAGGAAATATTCTGAACTTGTCCTGAACACTGTAAGGAGTACTTAAATAGTGTTATTTCCTTTGAGACGTTCCCTTGGGAACACAAAGTGGGGAAAAATTAATGTAAAACATTTGCAGGAACATTTTTCTCCCCTTTAGGAGGGATGCAGTCTATTCAAGTGGAGCCTGTGATTTATCCAGTAAATATGTATGTTACACGGCTGTGTGGATGGAAGATGCTTTGCTCAGCTGTGTATGAGATGCAAAGTTCGATTAGGTTACATTTTCCATTTGCAAATTTTTGCAACAGAGGTAAACTACTTTGCTCTATAAGCAGACTTCTGATATACACAGACATCTATGAGGTAGCCTCAAAGTTTATACACTAGCCACCCAGCTTCCTTCTGTGCTTTGAGGTAGATTTTTTTTTCAACTTATGCCCTAGCGGCCTTACTGTAGGGCCCTAAGTAAACGTACTTCCAGTAGCTGATAACTTCTGGTCACAGAGTGGTTACTTATTTGCAAATCATCAGCCCTGCCAGATGGGCTTGGTGAGTCTAACATTGTAGTGACTATTATAAGTTTCAAATTTGTACTCCTTTACATAGACATGGAAAGTGATTCAAATAATCACTTAGTCAATGTAGAGTGGCCAATTGGAGTCACTCTACATTGAAGGAGCTAAGAGTCACATATATACATATTTCCACTGTATTTCAGATGTCAGTAAAGAACAAGCACCACTTGACCATAATCTCCTTGACTATAATATAACAGTAGTGTTCCGGTGTGTTGAGAGTTCCCAACCAAGTCAACCAAGCTCATGTTTTAGTCAAATTTGGAAAGACTTGGCAGCATCCCACGCTAATTCCTCTTGTGCAACAGTTGGCGCCAATTTGCCTCTGACCATCACAAGCCCACTACAAAGCCCATCTGGTACCATTTTTAGAAGACTGAATTTTGATGAAATTTTTGATACCTTTTTCCCCTCTTTTTCCCACTGACTGTCCCCCTCTTGGAAAGTAGATATGTCAACCGCTAAATTCATTTTTGTGCACAACACAATACAATAGAATGCTTGAGTAAAATGCAAAGCAATGTTCTGAGCTCAAACATTACTAGTCACATGTAGTATGACTGAAATATATAGAACCATTTCTTTAACTGAATTTTGGTTCATTTTTGGTCACCCTTTCATTGCAGCTTGAATTCTTCTCAGGTTCGAGGTACCCATGTTGCCTGAAAGAGAGTGCTCTTCACAAAATTGCTGCTGCTGAGGTTAAACTCACATAGTCCTAAATCACACGCACATTCCAGGGGTATGGGCCTAACCTTAATATAAATATTTTAATAAGCATTTAATTCATTAGAATTGTAACTTTGCATTTTTTATATAATTTCCATTGGGAGCCAAGGACTAAAATGAAATTTTAGACAAATTCTTCTAAATACATCCATAGTGTTTTTAGTTTCTTAGAGAGAGAAAAAGGTCTTCAGTTAAGCAGTAGTGAGTTTCATTGAACTACTTCAATTTAAGAAAGATAAGTAAATAAAAACCATGAAATTAGATCTTATTTTGCTAGATAAAGTCACTTTGGGTCTATGACGGGTTTGAAATGAATAGGAGGACTTTGTGCATTCTCTCTACAGATACAAATAATGACTCAATTAATTATCATTTTCCTATCACCATGAATTTTACACATCCTGAATGTCTATGTAATTGCACCTTAGAAACAAGTATCAGTGGAAACTTTCCTTTGAGACTGCCAGGTAGGAGAAAGACAATGGTACTGTAGTGAATTAAGAACTATGTGTACTTCCAAAGAAGAATATGAGATGATCTTTCTTATGTCTTCCACATTTTCATCCTAGAAAAAATGGCCCATTTCTATCATTTCTTATCTCATTGTCACTCTATTACAGTATTAATCTAATCTTCATTATAGTTTTGCTCTTGTGAAAAAAAAATCACTTGGGCTCCCACTGGGTAGTGTTTAGACAGGCTCTCACTATATAGGCTGGGCCATCCACAGATACAGTGACACTCCTGCCTCAGTCTCCTGAGTGCTGGGATAACAGGGGTGTGCCACCATGCCTGGCTGTGACTGCATTTGTTTATTTATTTATTCATTTATTTATTTATTCATTTATTCATTTTATTTATCTATTTATTTATTTTATGGCCGGCTCAGCCTGCTCTGGGGGTGGGAATGGCGCCGTTTGTGGTGCTGGGGATCAAACCACGGTCCCGTCCCTGCGCTTGCCTAAGCTTCCTTAAGCAGGTGCTTTAGACCACTGAGCTATCTCACTGGCCCTGTGACTGCATTATTTTAAAGCTTTTTTAAAAAGTACAAAACTTTAGAAGAAGATGAACATTACCGTTCATGGCCAAAAAGATGTCCAGTGCCAGTTCACATTCTCTCAAGTGTGAAGGCCCTCTTAGGTCCACGGTGTTTACATAGGGGGTCTGTGGTGAGGCCACGCAACTGAGTTCTGCCTACTGGAGTCTCACCATGTTGGCAGCAGTGACCTGCCTGACCTCACAAGTGTGCCCTTAAATCTAAAAACTTAAAAAAAAAATACTCACAAAAATAAAAACTTCTCTCTTCACCTTCATCTTCCTCTGATATTCTTCTTCCAGCAAGCTACCTGATGGTAGACATGTGGCTTTCCATGTTGGACTTTAGAAAAAGAAACAAATGTTTTGGAATAAATGAATAAAAATATGGAAGAAGTGAGGACTCAGACACCTCCAATTTGATATGCCTGCCCTGGCCCGCTTATGTTGGACAGCATTTCTCTGCATGTGAGGAAAATAAATATGTGGTTCAGATTGCTATTAATTTGAGCCTTTGTTAGAGAAATTGGAACTGTGACCCAGTGTAATAATAATCTTGTAGCGATAGTAGAAATAAGACAACTTCAAAGATAGCTCCAGTGTTTTGATATGAGAGGGCCAACTGCTTCAGCTTGGAGTAGCAAGCTGCTGTACTGAGTTTCCTTTCCCACTGTCTGTACTTTCTGTACTGCGTGGAGGCACCGAGGATGGGTACCCAAAGAAAGAAAACCCCTGATATATGCATTAATTAAAGTTTGGTTTCTGATGAATTGTGGGAAATCACAGTCTGATACGATTTAAAAGTTTAAAGATGAGTAGAACTTGAAAATGAAAAATAAGGACAGATAGGCATATTAACTTGCAGCAGTGGTAGTTGGAGTAGAGAGCACAATTATTAGACTGTGCTCTTCTACAGTGAAGATTAGGTTACAGGAGTAGTTGTACTCACAAGCTACAGTGAATAAAATAATGCAAATGGGA